TTTGTTTATAAGAGCAAACAAACAAACAAACAAAAAAAGAATTAAAAATGAGGAGGGAGGTATGGATAAGCGTGGATTAGAGAGAGGGAAATAGAAGAGAGTAAGATAAATACGGAAGGCCAAAGATGCAAAATGGAAAGTGAAAAGTAATTTATAAGGATAAAGGAAAGGTGGAAGGAAAAGATGGAGAAAAAATACTAAAATACGAAAAAAGGAAAGACTAGAGTGAGGAAGGAAAAGAAAGACAAAAACAGCAAAATGAATAAATGTGAAAGAAAACTGGGGAAAAAATGAAATGCAAATCAAGAGAAAGTAGGAAAACCAGAAGAAAAAGAAGAATGAGAAGAAGAAGACAAAGAAGAAGCAGAAAAAGAAGACGAAGAGGAAGAAGAAGAAGAAGAAGAAGAAGAAGAAGAAGAAGAAGATGCAAGTGACACAGAGAAAGGGAGGCAGATCACCGCCTCCTTCACCTGAGAGGTATTGTTCTGGCACGCCCACAAAACCCCCCCCCCCTCCCCCCACCGTGGGCGCGCGCGGCTCACAAATACATATTTACGAAGTGATGAGCCATTGTGCCGCAGGGAAGGCTCACGGGCGCGCTTTCCCCTCTTCTCGGTTCTCTCCTTCTTTCGCTTTTTTCTGTTTTTTTTTTTTTTTTTTTTTTTTTTTTTTTTTTTTTTGAAGGGGGGTTGGGTGTTTCTTCCTCTTGTCGGGTCTTGTCTTGTGTTCACTTTTCTTTCTCTCTTTCACTCCTCTCCTTATCTCTCTTTCCTCCTTTCCTCTCTTTCTTCTTCTTTATCTTCCCTCCCTCTTCCCTCCCTTCCTCCTTCTCTTCTTCTTTTTCCCTTCCCAGTTCCCCCTTCCCCTCTCCCAGTCCTCCTCTTTCCCCCTCCCATTCCCTCCCTCCCCCCCCCCCCGTCTGAGGTTCATGATTGAATTCTCCGGTTTTCGGCGAGCTCGGTGGCGGCCGGAAGAACCTCGTTATAAGAACCGCCTTCGTAGTCAAACAGACAAAAACATACACATACACATTACATACATACACAGACAGATAGACAAATACATACACAGGCAGACAGACAAATACATACACAGACAAACAGACAGACAGACGGATGCATACATTACAAACACACAGACAGACATATAGACAAATACATACACAAAAAGACAGACAGACAGATGCATACATTACATACACAGACAGACAGACGGATGCAAACATGACAAACATACACAGACAGACAGATAGACAAATACATACACAAACAGACAGACAGACAGATGCATACACAGACAGACAGACAAATACATACACAGACAAACAAATAGACAGACAGATGCATAAATTACATACATACACAGACAAACATATAGACAGACAGATGCGTACATTACACACAGACAGACAGACAGACGAAGAGAATCAGACACCCTCAGGAACCCCGAAGACAAGTGCCCATTAAAAAGGGAAATTTAAGCGCGTTAGTGAAAGGCAAAAGCAAAAGCAAAACTCCCCGTAAGGACCCGAGTCGCTGCCAAAACAATTCGCCGATTCGCTCTAACAGGACGTCACGTTATGATTCGGTAATGGGTCTCATGTCTCCTCTGGAATCTGAAGTTGGCTTTTTGGGGTTTTCATTTTTTTTTTTTTTTTTTTTTTGGGGGGGGGGTTGGCTGGCTGTTTCTGTCTGTGTCTTCTCTTTCTTCTCTTTCCTCTCTTTCCTCTCTCTCTCTCTCTCTCTCTCTCTCTCTCTCTCTCTCTCTCTCTCTCTCTCTCTCTCTCTCTCTCTCTCTCTCTCTCTCTCTCTCTCTCTCTCTCTCTCTCTCTCTCTCTCTCTCTCTCTCTAGTTTTTTTTTACTTAATTTTCTATAATTTTCGTTCTGACTTTTTTCTCCCTCTATCTATGGACAAATAAAGATATTGAAAGAGTGAATTAAGACACTAATAGAGTTTTTTTGACGAACGTGTCCGAAACGCGTGAAAAAAATGTATATACGATTGAATGGAAACGAACAATGTACGAAGAACTATTTTATTTTTTCCACTTCGCTTTTTTTAGGATATTTGAGCTTTGGAGGAAGAAAAAGAATAAAAAAGAAAATCTATCGGCGAATTATTTTATTTGGTCCCGTCATTAATCCCGCGCAGAATCGCATGGGGCGGAATGATGGCGGTACAATACAGTCATTAATGATCATGAAAGCACCTGCCTTAATTTCTGTTCGTGGCCAAAGCGACGGAAAATCGGCATTCACAGTATTTTAAAACCAATTTGGATTCCCTCCTCCTCTTCTCCTCCTCCTCCTTTTCCTCCCTCTCTCCCTTCTCCGTTCCCTTGTCCTCCTCCCTTCCTCCCCTCTCCCTCTTCCTTGTCCTCCTCTCTCTCCCTTTCCCTCTCTTGCCCTCCCTCTCCCCCCCTCGTCACCCCTACTCCCCTCCTTTGTCCTCCCCCCTCCCTTGTCCTCCCCCACTCCCTCTCCCTCCCCCTCCCCCTCT